TTGTCTTAGACACCCCATTTGACCCCCTTTATACAAGATTTGTGTGCCACTACAGGACCTTGGTTGCAACAATGATCTATGTGGTCCTAGATTATATCAATAACGTCACAGAGGCACACACCAAGTGTCTAAATTTTTAAAGCTTTATTAATAAAATAATAAAAATACAGCAGAGAATGCTGGGAACACTCCCATGTCACTCAGGGGAAGAAAGAAAGCATTAGATCCCTAAGCCCTAACCCACTTTCATACCCACACATGCACTACCCAAAGCTGGCCAGGCCTGGGTATAATGTAAGAAGAGGGGAAGGGGTGGATGGGAGTTCTTGCCCTGGGCCCAGGTCGTCTGGGGGATCCGCTGTAATCTCCGAATTGCTCCAGCTCTCAGGAGAGTTTTAAGTCCTGGGTTCCTTGGGGGTGTTCCATTCCATGACCTCTGGTCCTGGTGCTCCTTGTGCCAGTCCAAACTGCTTTCTGTGGTCTCTTTCCCTTTCCCAAAACATCCCGGCTCTGGAGACTGTTTTCTTTTCTGTCTTGGCCTTCACTGGTCTCGCTGTTATCTTTGCAGCTCTGTGTCTCACTTAGTTCTTCTTTTCTCACAGCTGGTTGGGGTTTGGGGGGGGGTGGGCTCCCCCCCCCCCCCCCCCCCCCCCTTCTGTCTTGGCGGGTAGCAGCTGGCCTTGGGCTGGAGTTCTCTTATCTTCAACTGAGCTTGTTAATTGCAGTGTTGAGTTAACCCGTTCTCTGCTGTTTTCTTTTTCTTGTGACCTACAAAGAAACCTTCCACTCTCCACTCACACACCTTTAACCCTCCCAAAATGCTTTGTGATGCTTGCAACAGCGTTAGCAATATACAGTGCTGATCTGTCTTCCCAGGGGACTCCCTAAGGGGAGGGGGCCATTGGGTGTGACAAGCTGACACCCAGCTAAGCACAAGAATGTCTGCATCATGCTGGATGCAGGTGGGTAACTAGATGACTTACAGTCCTAGGTACCCTAAGAACCATCAAGGTCCACCTTTGCTTTTCCTCTCTGAAGTTCCTTTTTCCCCCCCAGCACAGGGAGTGACTCCTGTCTGGATTGTCTCCCTATCCCAGCAGGTGAGAGGATGGTGAGTGAGAACAAGGAGGGGAATCCTCAACAGGAAGGTCCTGAGCATGTGGAACCAGGTGAGATGATATCGGGAAGATCTGAAGAGGATGTTTCTCAGTGTGCTGAGCAGGGAGAAGCCCGTGAAAGTCAGTGCAAGCCAGAGAGGCAGCAGAGAAACCATGCAAGGGAGAACCAGTGTAAATCTACTCACAGGAGCCGAGTGGTCAAGAAAATCAAAGAAACTGTTCAACAGAGAATCCCCAGTGGAGATAGACCCCATACATGCAGTTTCTGTGGGAAAAGCTTCTGCTGGAGATCAGCCTTTATTAGTCACCAGAGAACCCACACAGGAAACAGACCCTACAAATGCAACGAGTGTGGGAGAAGCTTTAGTCAGAGCTCAACTCTCACTATTCACCAGAGAATCCACACTGGGGAGAGACCCTATAGATGCAACGAGTGTGGGAAAAGCTTTAGTCGGCGTGGAAACCTTTTAGCACATCAGAGAATCCACACAGGGGAGAGACTCTACAGCTGCAATGAGTGTGGGAAAAGCTTTAGTCAGAATGCATACCTTCTATCACATCAGAGAACCCACATGAAGGAGAAACCCTACATATGCAATGAATGTGGGAAAAGCTTTAGTCATAGCTCACAGCTTCTATTGCACCAGAGAATCCACACGGGGGAGAGACCCTACATATGCAATGAATGTGGGAAAAGCTTTAGTCTGAGCTCACACCTTCTATCACACCAGAGAATCCACACGGGGGAGAGACCCAACAGATGCAACGAGTGTGGGAAAAGCTTTAGTCGGCATGGAAACCTTCTCTTACATCAGAGAACTCACACGGGGGAGAGACCTTTCAAATGCCCAACATGTGGGGAAAGCTTTGTTCAGCTTTTGAAACTTGTTAGACACCAGAGAATCCACACTGGAGAGAAACCCTATAAGTGTAATGAGTGCGGGAAAAACTTCGGTGACAGATCACACTTTAATAAACATCAGAGAGTCCACACAGGAGAAAAACCCTTTAAGTGCTCTGAGTGTGGGAAAAGCTTTGGTTCAAGCTCAGATCTTATTATACACCAGAGAATTCACACAGGGGAGAAACCCTATAAATGCATTGAGTGTGGGAGAAGCTTTGGTCGAAGCTCAGACCTCACTAGACATCAGAGAAAACACACAGGAGAGAAGCCCTACAAATGCCCCAACTGTGGGAAAAGCTTCAGTGACAGCTCTGCCCTCACTAAACACCGGAGAATCCACAGAGGGGAGAGACCCTACAGATGCAAGGAGTGTGGGAAAAGCTTTCGTCACATCTCAAACCTTCTATTACATCACAGAACCCACACAGGAGAAAGACCCTATAATTGTCCTGACTGTGGGAAAGGCTTCAGTCGAAGCTCAAATGTTATTACTCACCAGAGAATACACACAGGGGAGAAACCCTTTAAATGCCCCGAATGTGGGAAAAACTTCAGTACACGTTCAGCCCTTACTGCACATCAGAGAATCCATAGCAGAGTGAGACCCTTATCAATGTCTTGACTGTGGGAAAAGTTTCTGTAACAGCTTAGTTCCTATAATCTCCAGGGAACCCACACAGGGAGAAACACTACAAATACAATAAGTACAGGAAAAGTTTTAGTTGAGCCTCACACATTCTATTACATCAGAGAACCTACATTGGGGAAAAAACCCTATAACTGCCCTGACTGTGGGCTAAGCTTCAATTGGAGATAAACCAGTATTACGCATCACAGAATCCACACTGGAGACAGCCTGTAAATGCTTTGAATATTAGGATCAGGCAAGGCTGGAGTGGCCATGCAATAAGGATGCACAATAGTTGTTAAAACAGAGACTGAAATCACTGTTCTAGGACGAGAGGCTGAGATAAGATTCCCATGCTGTGATGGGATTTGATTATTACTTCTCAAGAAGCTCTGAACACCCACTGTTCAGCTCCTAAATTTGTTTGGTGCTAGAAAGCTCTCTTATATTCTGTGACTTCTCATTTATTCTTCATAGTTTTTTAGACCTGGATCCACCAAGGGACTTAAGCGTTACGATGCTGAGTGTTGTGATACCACACTTCTACACAATCACAGAAACAACACTGGGATCCACAAAGCCTGAGTTAGGCACCCGGGCTGTCTATAAAATGAATGGGGAGAGAGAGACATCTCAGAATGTGACTCACAAAACCAAGCATGCTAGCTGGGGAGCCACCTAAGCTAGCCAATGGGAGATGCTAAGGAGACAGAGGTGTCCTGAGTCCTGCCCTTTTCATGTACATAGGTACCTAAGTCTGGGCTCCAGGGAAGCACCTGTCTCTGCTTGTGATTCATAAATTAGGAATGATAAGTGCTCCTCTGCCGATGGGGCCCCATCCAGTTGGAGTGTTTCAAAGTCACTTAACGCTACACAAAATACCTAGGGCATAGGAAAAGAGGACAAGGACCTCTCTTATACCCTTTAGCCCAATGGTTGAGGTACTCACCCAGGAGGTTCAAGTTTCTATGCTGTTCAAATCCCTTCACCTCACCAAGCAATCTGCCACCTCCCAAGTGAGTGCCCTAGCCATAGGATATTCAGAGGTGGAGGTATTCCTCAATCTCCTTTGTTGAACCTGGTCCACTGTATAAAAGTATTCAGCTAAGAGATGGCAGATTCTATGCTATTGAATCTCCAAGAAAAGGATGGAAAGGAATTTCTTGTGATGCCTGAATGCCCCTGCTGGATGGACAAGAAACTTGCTATGACAGTTTGACCTGTCCAGTTAATGAATGACCACCTGCAATAAAAGGAAATGCCTCTCCAAAAGAAAAAGGACAATGGAAATTTGCCTAATATGTCCTTTGGGGTAGACTGAGTCCCCCATTACAACCACATGGAGTGATTATGCATAAAAAAAGGTTTTGGGCTAGACAATCCAAGTTCCCTGTAAGCTGCATGTCGGCATGGCTGTGTAGCAACCTATTTAGCGCTGTGCAAGTGCTTAGGGAACCCGCCTGGGGACCTGCCACAGATGGCGGAAGGGTGCCCCTCCCCCGGCCCCAACTCACCCTGTGGCCTGGACCTGCCGTGGCCTGGACCCAGGCATGGCTAGAATGGGCCCAGGCACAGCCGGAGCGCCCTGGACCTGGCTGGGGTGGTGTGGAGTGGCCCAGACCCTGGTGCAGTCTGGGTGGCCCTCCCCGGCTTGGACTTGCTGGGGCCAGGTGAGGAGCAGCTATCCTGCAGCCCCAGCCTCAGAGCTCCTGCGGCAAGGACAGGCACCTCTTCCCCCCCCCAGCCCAGGTGCTGCTGTGGGGAGAGAACGCTGGGGGAATCCTCTTTCCCCACCGTAGCCCTGGAGCACCCTCTTACACCCCAAACGCCTCATCCCTGGCCCCACCCCAGAGCCTGCACCCCCAGCTGGAGCCCTCACAGCCCTGCACCCCAACCCTGAGCCCCCTCCCACAAGAATTCCTCGGCCTCACCCCATCACATGAATTTTGTTATGTGCACCAATATGAAGGTGATGTGTCACACATCACCTCCATATTGGTGCACATAACAAAATTCATTCCACACATGGGTGGAAAAATTAGAGGGAAAACTGCAAAAAGCTCTGTCCGGCAAAACCTACCTCCAGCAGATTGTGATCAGCATATCAACCCCTGATTCAGAGAAAGCTGGGTCATTCTACATGAGAAGTATTTGTTTAACTCTCCCTAAGAGAGCAATTTTCTTTGACTGAGAGTCCTTGGGATGCTAAACTCCAGAATCCCAATAATAAGTAGCTTGGAGGGAAAGATGTTTCCCAGAAGAAAGAATCCTAAACCAAGCTACAAGGAAGAAGACTTCACCCACAAAAATAGAAGGGACTGGGAGGATGAGCAGAGCCACTTCATTAAAGTTCAGAAAAAATTAGGAAATCAGTGCTCATTGCTAAAATGCACAGGTACTTTCTGTGCTTGCAAGGAAGATAGACATTAGTCTTGGACATGTTTTCCTAGAATACCTAATCCACTGGAGTTCAGATCTATTCCATAAAACCAGACTTTTGGACTGGTAGAAACTCTTCATTGGAAAATACCAAAGTCATATAAACCCGTGGCAGCGCTTTGAAGTGCGAGTGTGGTCGCGCGCGAGTGCTGGGAGAGAGCTCTCCCAGTGCTCCTGGTAATCCACCTCCATGAGGGGAATAGCTCTGAGCGCTGGGAGCACGGCTCAGAGCCTGTCTATACTAGCGCTTTAAAGCGCTCAGACTTGCTGCGCTCAGGGGGGTGATTTTTCACCCCCCTGAGCCAGGAAGTTAGAGTGCTATAAAATGTAAGTGTAGACAAGCCCTTAAAGTAGACTAAGGCGATGTCTACACTGTGCAGCTTACAGTGGCACAGCTGTGCTGCTAACGCCTTGCCACTGTAAGGAACCCAGTGTAGCTGCTGTTTGTCGGCAGGAGAGAGCTAAGAACACTCCCTCAACCTTCTTGATTAACTTTAATTTGAATATGTAGTGTTGTCATAGCCATGTGGGTCCCTGGATCTCTGGCCTGGTCTACACTATGACTTTAATTCGGATTTAGCAGCGTTAAATCGAATTAACCCTGCACCCGTCCACACAACGGAGCCATTTATTTCGAAATAAAGGGCTCTTAAAATCGATTTCTGTACTCCACCCCGACGAGTGGAGTAGCGCCAAAATCGATTTTGTCAATTCGAATTAGGGTTAGTGTGGCCGCAATTCGATGGTATTGGCCTCCAGGAGCTGTCCCAGAGTGCACCATTGTGACCGCTCTGGACAGCAATCTGAACTCGGATGCACTGGCCAGGTAGACAGGAAAAGCCCCAGGAAAATTTGAATTTCATTTCCTGTTTGCCCAGCGTGGAGAGCAAAGGTGACCACAGATAGCTCAGCTCATCAGCACAGGTAACCATTGTAGATAAATCTCTGATAATTTTCATATGACTTTACATTGTGCCTCTTCATATAACCTTGTGGTGGGTCTACCCACGTGTGACCTCTGTTTTCATGGGACTTTGTATCAAAGCCTCATTTAGAAACTTTGCATTGCCCTTGGTATAATATTATAGCCCCTAAGGATAGAATAAGATAGAAGAAAAATTTATTTTTGCTAGCAGTAGAACAAGAGCTCCCCCCCCA